TTCATTTGATCCGTTGAAATCATTTTGTACGAAGTTCTCGTGTTTATTAATTCAATAATACGAAATTTTGCGTTACAAGGTGTATTACAGTGAGTGGGTTGCCAACCCCTGTTCTGGTCAAAAAAATCAAATGGGCAATGGAGACTTTGAATTGATTTTAATGATCCCAATAGAACTTGCCCCAAAGACAGCTACCCCTTGCCTCATACCGACTGCATGGCAGACTCGACTGCAGGCCATGAGTTGATAAGTTTTATGAAATCTTGCTCTTGTTATATATTTCCATGTATTCCGAAAATGAAAAACTCAATGTCTTCTACTCCGCCTGAGGTTTGTGTTGCTACAAAATGATGACTTTCAGGCTTAAGCATATGGGCTACATACCATCAATTCGTGAATCGAGTGTTTGTCGATCTGATATGAAAGACAATGGAAGTATATGTAGGCAACAGGCTTGTAAAGTCCCTATTGCTCGAGACCACGTTTCTCATTTAAAAGAAATGTTTCCATGTTGTGTGGTAATTCAATAGTGTTAAACCTCAAAAAAATGTACCTTCGAGGATAGTTGGGGTACATAGATATTTAGTCAACCAAAAACTATTCGAGGTCGATCTAGAGATGGTCAAATAACCACCCACTTCAATCAAAAGCGTCCAAAGTCTGACCAGAAGGCTTTCCGCCTTGAATTTTTTCCTTTCAAGATCCACATATTGGTGCTAGCCATCAAGAAAAATGAAATATTTGAATGCCAAAACACGCGGACATTATCTATCTACATCCTTTTGTTTCTAACATGACGATCAGTTCGGCACTGGTCTGAAATGATGGTAGCATCCAACATCCAATCTGTTATGTTAGTCATGCTCTTCATAAAGCCAAATTGAGATACTCCGTCATAAAGAACACGCTTTGGTCGTCTCATCTCAAAATCTTCGTCCATATTTCCTAAAACACCCCATCCTTATACTGATCAATTACCCACTTAAGCAAGTCATGCATTGGTCTGACACGTCACGGCGAATGGTTAAATAGGTTGTCAAACTGACCCAGATTGACATCATGTTCCAGCCGAGAAACTTGACATAAAGTTGAACTTTGGCCGATTTTGTTGTTGAATTTACTTCAGTCATAAATAGACACTCGATGATGAAGTATGTGTTTTATATGTGGATGGCTATTTTACTCTTGTTTTAGCTGGTGTTTGATTCATGCTAATAAGCCCCGATACGAAGTTTTTATGTTCGACAATCAGGTTTCAATTTCCTTCTACTAATAATGAAGTTGAATACGATGCCCTAATTGTCGGATTGGATACGTCCCGATCAATGGATTTAACGAATTATAAATTTAAAGTGATTTCATGCTATACTAAATCATGTAAATTGAAGTTTTGTAGTCAAACAACCCTGATTGATCCCCTATTTCGAGTTGGTCAAGAAAAACTAACGCACTTTCAACAGATCTTGTTACCTATCTTGCAATGCTAGAATGCCTGAGCTGATGCCTGACAAGTTTGGCGTCTAGTGTATGTGTTGATCAAGTAGACCATATCGTGATCGATCATCTCATTAGGTCGACCCTCGAGATAAATGACAGCGTAAGCCAAATAAGAAACCAACGCCAATAAACACAACTAGATGACTCCGCTTCGATTGTATTTAGATAAATATCTGCTACCTGAGGATCTATCCGAAGCATGAGCAATTCGAACAAGAGCAGCACTTATAATCGATGGAAACTTGTATGGAAGGGGCTATTTATTAACTCTCCTAAAGTACTTTGACGACGATGAAGTGCAATACGTAATGCGAGGAATTCATGAATGCATATGTGAAAACCATTCTAGGGGCCAAACTTATTTTTACGAAATCATAAGACAGGGCAATTATTGACTCACTCTTAAGAAAAACACCCTTGAACTCATTCGAAAATGTAGTCAGTGTCAATTCTTCACCCTTAACAAAGACAACCAAGTCAAACGCTTAATTCATTATTCAGCCCTTGGTGAAGTGTGGGATCGATCTAACGGGCCCTTGCAAATGGCCAAGGGCGAGGTCACATATGTTGCGGTCGTCATCTATACTTTACTAAATGGGTCTTGAACCACTCATGACTATTATTAAACAGAAGATAATCGCTTGTGTGGAATTTTATAATTTGTCAATTCGGGGTCCCCAATTTTATTATCAAGGATATTGGGAAATAATTTCGGGTACAAAATTCAAATCACTTTTTGAACATTTACATATCAAGAATCATTTTTCTACCTCATATTATTCCTAATCAAATGGTCAAGTCGAGTTTATGAACAAAATTATTAACTACGGGCGAAAATGAAACTCGAAGAGGCTAAAGGAGTGTGGTCGAAAGAACTACCCAAAATCCTTTGGCCCTATCGTACGACCACCAGATCGGCCACGTGAAAAACCCCCTTTTCAATTGCCTATGTATCGAGGCAATGATCCTGTTGCAATCGGCTTACCAACATATTGAGTCCAACAATTAGATGAAGCATGAAATGAAACTTTTTTTAGGGTTGATCTAGATCTACTCGATGAAAAGAGAAGCGTTGCCAAGATTAAAAAAAAAAATGTTTATCTACAAAAAGCGAAAGATATTTTAGTCAAAGCACTCTAACTCATCAAATGTCGCGATGATTTTATCTTTTTGACCTCCTATAAATTGTAAAATCCCTACATAAAGGTACACATCAATAAAAATCTCACCAAATAATAAATTGTAAAACCCCTGCATAAAAGGTACACACCAAGAACAATTTCACCACATAACACGCTGAGTACTAATTACTGCAATAAATACATACAATCAGTCCATTGCCAATCTACTCACAAACAGTTCTATTGTAAAAACACGTTTACTTTGTTTTAATTCACACAACAATGTTCATTCAATAACTTGCACATTGGCAATGGTTTTAACCGAACAATTTTATCCACATTGTAATCAAATACGATGAAATTTTAGAGAGATGACAATGTAAAATTATGTGATATTAATTCAAATAAGAACCAAATTTAAAATGGGATGACCAAATTACTGTTTATATTTAATAGTATGAATAATTATTATTATTATTAATTATTATTATTATTATTATTTTATTATTATTATTATTATAATTATTAATGAATAAAATGTACATGAATGTGATGCTTTTCAGAGTGTCTTCACATGACTATGCAACAATCAAAATGCGTATTAGAATTGTTGGTGTTTGGGTGACCGATAAAAATATTTCAATTTGAGAAACGAAAGTTAAAATATTTTATGCCAAGTCAGAAAACCGTAAAATAATAATAATAATAATAATAATAATAATAATAATAATAATAATAATAATAATAATAATAATAATAATAATAACTAATTTAATATATAACAAAAGAAATGATAACAAAGAAAACTTTATCTAAACAAGTATTCTGTCCTACAGGATTATGAAGAACACAAGCTGACAGTTATGATTGGGAATCTGCATTTATATTTATCTATGGTGAGATTTTGCTATAGGCAATGGATTTATATTTATTTATAGAAAGAGATGCAGGCAATGATGCCTGATGCGAACAAAATAGCATGCCCTGGTTTAGAATATGCACGACTCAGCTGGAGACATATTCGCTCGACTGAAGAAAAAATTTATAAACTGCAGCTAATTATCAGGGCGTGGTGCATACATGACTAAAAAGAGCCTATGACGAAGGCTTTCTATTTCTAAACCCAAATGATTCTATTGTGGATTTGTATAGACGATACCGGCCCCATGGAAGAATTAGTGCTGCAGAGTTTAT